GGAATGGGACAAAGGGAGGGTGGAGGAGAAGGGATTACAATTCAAGCTGACAAAGAGCAGCACGTTTCCCCAGCTGCAAGCTGGCTTTAATAACTTGTGTGCAGCTCACACCATGAGCACAGGTTGCATTAAGCTGCTTTGGGCTTTACTCAGTGGCTAAAAAATCATATTTTTGTGTCTTTGTTGCCTGTCATCACCTTTGGACTGAACTGAAGCCAAGCCAGGTGTAAAACATGTTCCTCACCTGAGAGTTTTGCAGCTGCTGCTCCGTTTGGAGCTTGTCCTCCAGCATCTTCTGAAGGGCCTCTTTTGCCTTCTGCTCATAGGTCTGCTTCTGGTCCTCCATCTCTATCAGGATCTTCTTCACACACTCCTTTGAGTAACTCTTTAAAGGGAGAAATGAAGTGCTTGAAGGGTCTTCCCTGACAGATTCCTAACCTTGTGAAACCTGAATATTAGCAAATCCAGAGTGTGTAAATGCTACTGCTGATTTTCTGTGGAGCACTGCTTCAGCAAAGAGGAAAAATCCTTTTTGGATATGTATCTAACCTGGATTGATCTGGAAACTGAGACCTGACCCAATTACGTGGTTTGGTGTTTTGTTTTCGTGCCTTTCTTCCCCCTGTTTCTCAGGGGCTCAGACATTACCTGGGTGCAAGCCTGCAGCTGATTTTCAAGGGCCCTTAGTTTGCACTTCAGTTTGTCTTCATTCAGCTGACCCTGGGGAAAAAAACCAATTGAACTGATGTGTGAAACCAGGAACCACCCAATATACCCCCAATGTTTCGTTAGTTTGTGTTTTGATTAATTTTCTCCCTTCATCTGTAATATTGTGGCTAAATTGGGTCAAAGTCTCTTCAGTGCTGAATTCAGGTGAACTTCGGATAAATGGGATATGGGGGAAGCAAAAGTTTTATGGGCTGAAAAACTGTGCTGAGGCACTTTCACTGGTTGCTGAGTGCAGGTGCTGGCAGTGAAGTTATAAGTTAAGAGGCAGGGGGTTTGAGTCTGGAAGGGTCCCTGAGCACAACCCTGTTCCCTGGCTCGTGGTCCCTCCCTGCCTAAAGCTCCAGCTGGTGTGACAGCCCTGACTCGCTGGTTTCCTCAGAAAATAGGTCGGGTCTGTGTTGCAACACCTTGCAGTTGGGCAGGGGGACAGAGGGCAGCACTGATGATTCATTTTGCTTGTTATCATCATCTCCTCTCGGTGTTAGTCAGGCTGCTTGGGCTTTGTGAAACCAGAGTGTTGCAAATTCAGATAAAATTTCCAGCAGAGAGTTCACACAGGCTGTTTTTTCCACCACCAGTGCTGAGAACACCAGTATCCTCTCTGCTCACCGCTGTTTGAAGTCACACCTCTGAAAAGAAACTCCTTGATGTTACAGGAATAGCTGTTAGACCTAAGGAAAAGCAGATTCCCCTGTGCCTTAGCCCTGTTTAAATTTGCACAGACGCACGTTTAGAGCCCCAAAGACTAAATCTCCCCGGTTCAGTTGTTGGTGCAAAGAGCTAAAGGCTCAGGAAGTAAGTGGAATTTTGAAAAGCAGTTTCAGATGTGAAATATTATGCCTACTTTTCCTCAGTGGTTTATCTTACTCTGCCTGCAGAGGTTCACGTTGGAGGGTGGTGCTGTTCCAGCTGTTGTGCACAGATGTGACTGTGCTGTGGACAAGGCAACTACACTTTGGAGCAGAAATCATGGAATCAAAGAATGGTTTGGGGTGGAAGGGACCTTAAAGATGTAATTCCACCCCCTGCCATGGGCAGGGACACCTTTCACTAGCCCAGGTTGCTCCAAGCCCTGTCCAACCTGGCCTTGGACATTTCCAGGGCTGGGGCAGTCACAGCTTCTCTGGGCACCCTGTGCCAGGGCCTCCCCACCCTCCCAGGGAAGGATTTCTTTCCAATATCCAACTTAACCCTGCCCTCTGTGAGTTTGAAGCCATTCTCCCTTGTCCTGTCACTCCAGGCCCTTGTAAACAGTCTCTCTCCATGTTTCTTGCAGGCTCCCTTCAGGTACTGAAAGGCTGCAATTAGTTCACCCCAAAGCTTCTCTTTTCCAGGCTGAACAATCCCAATTCTCCCAGCCTTTCCCCATAGCAGGGGTGCTCCATCCCTCTGATCAGCTTGGTGGCCTCTGGATTTACTCCAGGAGGTCACTGTCCTTGTGCTGCAAACTCCTTTGATGGAGCTGCAGCCCATAAATTGGCAAAAGAGCATAGAATGGGAAGGTTTCCCTAAATGGAATAAGCTCTCCTCAGAAAAGTGATGTGAGCAAACCTTGGTCAAGCCCTTATGTTGAAGATTAACTACATGAAAGGGGCTGTTTCAGAGGAAAAAAAACAACCCCAAAACAATCCCTTGAATTCAACCAAACAAAAAACACACACACACACACAAATAAATACAGCAGCAAAAAAAAACCCCAAACCCTACAGCCACCATCATCAAGACGGCCCCAAGTCACGTCCTATAAGCCAGGCAGGGGTGAGGATTAGGGCTAATGTGCTCAAAATACACCCCCTGTGGCAAATACCCTATTTTTTTACACTTCCCCAGCCCTGTTTTTCAGAGTCTGATGTGACCTGAACAAGCAGCTCCAAATCTCAAACTCTCCTGCATTTCTCCACTGCTGTCATTTAAGTGCCATGTAAGTCTTTTAAACTGCTTTTGGCCGACAGCTGCAGTGTTTTGGTTGTCCTGTGATTGGGGAATTCTCTGATACTGCTTCCCTTAGTCCTTTTAGAGAGCTGGGGTAGGGTTATAATAATAAATGCTGTTTCTGGAAAGCTTCCAGTTTGCCCAAGCATGATGCTTGTGCTAGAAAAATAAGTCCATATAGCAGCAGTGATGTGCTGGAAATGGCAAAGAGCTTAAACTCTGCAGAGCAGTTTGAGGTACTTCCAAAAATCAGGCTCAGCTCCAAATGCCAGGAAGAGGAGAAAAATACACTAAAGCAGCAATTTTCTTTAAGAGGAGAATAGCTTAAAATTAATTACTCTTGATAATCATAACCAAGACTCTCTCAGCATCCCTCATCTGGCAGCGTTGAGTTTGGCAGCAGATGGGGGATTTAAGGCACAGAGCTGGGGTAGGAAGAGCTCTCTGAGCTAAAAGTGAAATCGTGGGAGGGGGAAGGAGGCACCAAATGCTTTATCCCTTCACTTTGCCATCCCCAACCTCCTGCAGAGTGTTCTCCTGCTCCATCCAGCCAGGAGCACCCAGGAACACCAGCAGCACCTCTGGAATGGGCACAGAGTGGTTTCTGGAGCTCAAAGTCATCCATGTGTGTTCAACAGCAGGTTCTTGAAACTCAAAATGCCGGGAAAGATTAAAAAGCTGCTGCAACAAGCACTTGGCATCTCACCTGGGCCTGGGAAAAGGCAGCCAACCATCAGCTTGTCCTGTCCATCCCTCCCTTTGCCAGCACCTCCTGTGGCTCCAGGAATTCCCCTCCCAGCAGCACCGTTGGCTCCAGCCCCCAGTTAATTTTTAGGCTGATGAGAGGTTGGATGCAAGAGGCAGCAGCAGCAGAGACAAAGGAGCAGCAAAGAGCACCCACCTGTTTCTAATCTGAGGTTTCATGGCTGCTTCCTGCAGAGTGTGGCAGAGGGTGTTTTTTCCTGCTCGTATTAGATTTGAAGAAGCAAATGGAGGAGGAAGTTTCAAACCACAGGATGTGTCTAACACAAGGTTTCTGTGTCCTCTCGCCCAATAATCGCTCGTTTTTCTGCCCCGACACAACTTTCAAAGCCCCCTTTTTTTTTTTTGGTGGCACAATGAATTATAAATTGATTTAATAACCCTAGAGAAAAGCTTAATATATTACACAAGATGAATCACCTCAATATTGTGTCTTGATAGCAAAAAAAAAAAAAAAAAGGGCATGGGTTCAGTGATGCCCGGAGGATTTTCAGTCCAGGGTTTGCCAAGACTTGGGTGCATCTAAAAATCTTTATTTTTGCAAAAAAAAAAAAAAAAAGGGCCTGGGTTCAGTGATGCCCGGAGGATTTTCAGTCCAGGGTTTGCCAAGACTTGGGGGCATCTAAAAATCTTTATTTTTGCAAAAAAAAAAAAAAAAAGGGCCTGGGTTCAGTGATGCCCGGAGGATTTTCAGTCCAGGGTTTGCCAAGACTTGGGTGCATCTAAAAATCTTTATTTTTGCAAAAAAAAAAAAATTAAAATGAGGT